TACGCGCTGCGCAAAAGCACGTCCTCCGAAATGCATTGAACCTCGATATGACCCGAGAGCTCGTCATTACGCCGTAGCCCGAATTAGTATCCATCTATTACATATTAAATTACATCAAACGCGCGCTTGTGATTATCGCGTTTGTGATTGCGCCGTCATATCGCGGTCATAATGTCGCAATACACGTTGATATCGTTATTTCCGAAATTGAAAGGACACTCATGGGGGTAAAAGCCGATACGTCCAACGCAAAGGGAAATTATTAAATTGCGAAAAAATCCCTGTTTTGTTATACGATATTTTGTTGTCGTTGAAAAACTTTCTGTTGTCATAATATGCAGATTGTGTTTATTGTCAGATTTGTCACTTCCAAAACTCGGATTTCGTGCCGACAATTTCATGTCGAAATAAAATCCAATAAAACAATAAATTAACAATTCACATACCGTTTATATCGTACAATAAAACGCACGGACTTTCTCGTTGACATTGTGAATATTCGATAGATTTATTTTCACTCATTGATCGTATTAATCGTAACTCTGAATAATTGCTTCTTCTCAATATTCTGATTAAGCGATCGATTTGACGTTGAATAGCTTTACTTTACGACTCCCTTTAGAACTTGCGCTTTTTGTAGATATCATACACACACGCATTTCGAAACTAGAGGGTACAATCGAATCCGGAACTAATCACTGTAATCCGGATCTAATCTGGCGCCGTGTCGGTAGCAAGTGAAGCTCCCGCCAAGATCAATCAGGGATAATAATTGGAAATTCGACTTGTACCAAATCACAATCATAAAGACAATGAGAGCAATAATGATACAGATCAATGATATCTAGTATATATTAGACACTTCTGCGTGTGAATGCGTGTAGATGCATCAATTAAGTTTTTAATTTACTACAAAACATGTATAAGTCTACACTTTTGTTAGAATAATAGCATATTATTCTCTTAATCTTCTAATTCTGTAACTATGTAAATAATAAGTCTCTTTAATAGTGTTAAGTAGGTGCGAGATCTGTCAGAGTGATAAGTAAAACTACACAATTACGAAAGTAGGACGTTTTACGCATTATCTAACGAAATGAGATAAATTGCACGGGTATATTCTGCTGTCATTATCTATCTTGATATTTGTTTTAATAGAAAGGAAGAATTAGCCAAAAGTAGATTAATGGAAATGATGGATATACTATAATTGTCTTACATTTCGTGGGATCCATTAAATATTTAACAAACCTAGCTTAAACGTAACGTGATAAGTTTGAAATAATTCACAGTTCTGTGCACAGAGAATTCGATTGTTTAATAAAATTTTCCATCGAATAAATCGAAACTTCAAGCAGATGTATGAACGAAGCGGAATTCAATAGCTCTTCTTTTGCTCAGACAGAAATAGAAACGACCGAATAACTCGCGTAAGAATTAATAGGGTGAAAAAATTTTATTGCTTTATTAATAGAAAGAATATATTTTTCGTACATTTTCTCTCTCGTGAAAGAAGCTCGCGCGCCTACAAGCTCGAGTGTGCTACACAACGTGTTACACCCGAGTATAATTACACTGATGTTGGCCACACAGCGTGAGACTCTTTTGCGCCACGTTTTTGTCAGACAGAGACAAAACGAGGAGAGAGAGAGAGAGAGAGAGAGAGAACGAGTAGACGAGATTTCCACTTTGCGTGCCTGGAAGTTCGCGTGCAAAAATGGGTCATACACACATTTCGTTATGACATATTGCTTAACGATCCACTGCTTTGTCCGACATCGCATTCTGCGTGCCTCATTCACTGGGGAGCGCAAATTAATTAATTAGCTAGAGACAAGATTAATTAATTATGGCGACCTCGACGAGTTCGACCTAGAGACGTCCCGCTTTACTATCATCGTGTTCGACATCAAGTCGAGCAAGAAGTTGATTCTCAAGACTTAACTCTAATTAGATTTACGTATGTTAATTAACAAACGTAATAGAATTTTGCTGCATTTATTAAATGCAAACTTATTAAACATAAACTGAGGAAAGCAAACAGCAATACAATTTATTATTTCATTAACTGCTTCACTATTTGCTTGTTAAATGCAATTAACAACTTCTTGTGAATAACACAATTAATATAAAATACAAAAATCTATTCAGTACGCAAACAGTATGATATAATAATGGCGGAAAAATGGAAATAAAGACATTTTTAGATAAGCACGTTTTTTAATTTGATCTCAGCAGTACTGAATGTAGCTCGTTTCCTCTTTTGCCGAAAGGCTAAAGTTAAGGACTTTTAGAAGGATCTGTCGGCACGATAGCACAAATTGGGTCTGCCTCGTCCGCATGTAAGAGAACCTAAGGAAATGAAATTTATCTGACATCGCACAACTACCCTTCAAGTTATTCTATCGGGCGTTATTTTGGTCTGTTAAAGTATAGATTAAATTAAATTAAATCTTTATCATTTAAACACAGAAAAACAATTAATAATATATAACATAATTATATAGCAAGAGCTTTTTACATTATATTACATTGATTTTAATTATAATTACATCGATTTTAATTAAAATAATTAATAGAAAGGATTATGCGAAGCAGATTTATGAATTTTACATTAACGTAAATCGAATATTCGTGAGCAAATTAATAAACAACAAGCGGAGGGATATCGTTATGTCAACTATATAGAACATCGGTACCCAATTTAAGCACGATGTTTGAAGACGAAGCAAAAGCTAAAGACTCGGAAGGAACTGTCAGTCTGCTTACGCGATAATGGAGTAGCGAAATATACATCGCACAGCTACCTTTCAGTAAATAATTCCACTGAGTCGACTGTCGACGACGCACAGATGCAAAGCGGATAATAATGATACTCCAGGAACCTAATATCATTGATATCGTGACATTTCACATTGCGAATGCTTCGCGGATCTTCAATCTTAGTTTGCGATACACCGCAAATATTTCATATCCAGTTTCGCATAATAACCGGGAGGAAGACCAGGGGTGCCCGATACTATCCTGTATATTGTGCAACAGCAGATGTTGAATGTTACAAATAATACAAATGCCAGACATATTAGAGTTGTTCCTGAGTTAATCCCTCGATATATTATGGAACTTATATAACATGATATCCTGTGTATGAAAGAGAGAGAGAGAGAGAGAGAGAGAGAGAGAATTCTGTATTATTTTTTAATGACATACCGACCCATACAGCATATTTTATCCGAAAACATCTTGGAAACATCCTTAGGACATCTAAACGACACAGGGATGTTCCTTTCAACATCTTTAGGGCGTTCTTTAAAGATCTGTGCTGTATTATATTCTAATTGTGTCAAAAACTGCGCTGAATTAAAACATGTGAAATTGTAAAATTCAATTCATTTGAATTTCCTTTTTATTATGCTTAACAATATTGAAGACGTCAGGAAATAATCCGAAAATAAACGAGAAATTATTTTATGACAAATGTTTTTCATGATGTCGGACTCCAGTGGTCGTTATTTAAATGTATAACGTTTGAAAAACTGCGCCTTTCCTGGTGTCGACGAGAATAATAAAAATGATTGTATGAGCGCGGGGCAACGCGACGCGTGGAAACGCGCCAAAGTTTGTTCGATTCAATGGCAACCCCTTGATGCGTCTATAACCCTTGGGGACGATAGAAGCGTCCGGTAAAATGTAACGAAATTAAACGATAAAATGTTGAGAGACACTCGATGAAATTATTTAAAATTTTCATTAAAAATTTGATTCATAGTAGCTAATTGTCAGAATGTAACTATACATATAATAAAGATTTTTGCATTATATCCATTTACGTATTTTCTGTTTGCATTCATATTTTCAGTTTTATATGCACGATCCATCATTTTATTTATAAATAAAAATAATATATACATACAGTCGAGGCTACTTTTATGGCATGGAAATAACACAGTGTCCAATTTTTATCTTATATCGCTTAATTAATATTAAGTAAGTCCTATAGTTAAACAAACCGTAAATACTTTACGCAGATTTTACTGGGAATAGGTCTGACAGCAAAATGCTAAAAATGCGATTTGCTTAAGTTAAGATGATTACGTTAAATATCTCCTTCTCGTAAAGTAATGCTCCATCGATCCGCGTCAGCTCGTGTTACATCTCCGGCTACGAAAATGCCCAGCCCGACGATGACCCTTCAGTTAGACGCGTCGGAAAATTTTCATACCTAATGCACTCCTAAATTTCGATTAAATTTACTGCTGAATTTTTGCGCAAGTGCGGTTTACGTGCAAACCTATACTTCGTAATCAGCTGTTTCGGACGCGGAATCCTCTCTCCAATATAGGTAAGTGACGTATCACTTTAAAGAAAAGCACTTTTTAAATTAAATAATGTCGACGAGGAAACTGGCAAGCAATTCTACAGGATATTTAAGCGAGAAATTGTAATTTGATTTAAAAATTAAGATACACGTAATATAGAATTTTGCGATAATAACTTCGTAATCCGGGATACATAAACTAAATCGAATCTTAAACTTTAAACAAAATTACCAGGCGTTCTGTATAAAACTGTCCTGGACCGAATTTCAACTCTACGAGAACTATTTTGCAGAATTATTTTTGCATTTTGAATCCATTAAACAGAATGATATTTTATCAGATTTTATCAGAATTATCTGAATATCCTTGTTTTTTGTGCTTTATATATAAATGTAATATCTATACTGATTACTAAAAATTATGTTTTTATTTAAAAATTACTAAATCTAGAATAAAGGAAGACATATATATATGGCATTAATTATTCTACTCGCCCTTATTTTTCGCTTATTTATTCCTATTAGTTTGACTTTCATATTTCGAAAAGGCAGAAACTAAATACTTATTGAAGCTTTTTAAATAGAAAAATACCAAACTACCAATGATAGAAGCAACGCGTATATCCATTTAGATTCATGCGAATTAATGCGCTGTAAAATAACGTGCACGATCATCTCGTACCTGTTAAGCCCCGTCTGACAACGATCGCCGACGGCGATGGCGAAAATACTATCCTGGGTCCTCGGCTGCTGATCCTCTAAATTTCCAAAGTCGTAGCACACACGCGACCGGCTCCGGAAAACTTCGGCCGATACCGGAGCGAAGCGTCGCACGCGCGCGAACGCCGCGGATGCGATCTCGTTCGCGTGAACGATCGGCAAGAGGAAAAAGTATAATAAAACAAAGAAAGATAGAAAGAGAAAAGGGAGAGGAAGAAAAGGGAAGAGTCACAGCGTACAGCCGAGGCCGAAGGAACTTGGAGCGAGCTCTCTCGTCGCGAGGGAATCGCGGCACGGTACTGACGAGTCGTCCGTGGGGCGCACGGACCTCATGCCGCCAGGATCTCCATCCCCACCGACCCGGCACGGCGCGACGCCGATATTCAGGGCCGGTTCAATGATCAACAGTGAATTGCCGCGATCATGGAACGACTGGAACGATCCCCCGATCATCTCCCACGTATGAGGACTGATTACATGGAAAGAATGATTTTACTGAAGAATTTAAAAATTTAGCTAGATATATAGATCCAAAAATAATTTTGTTAGATCATCAAAATATAAGACGCTCAAACTGCTAAAATGTCAAAATTTTCGTGCTTATTATGCTAGAGATTTCTACGTAATTATTTTGAGCCAACAAAATTATTTTCAAATCTGTATCTATAATTGAATTTTTGGATACTTCAGCAAAATCGTTCTTTCTGTGTAGTTGTCCATGTATTCAACGTCCGATATGCACGTAGGATTGAAATCATGTTTAAGACCGCAACACAGATTTTTGCTTAAGAGAATTCCCTGAATGAAAATAAAAAACTCCGACTGGTTGATTCTCTTATACATTATGCGTTATGCAAAAGTCTGTGCTGCCTTTACGTGTGACCCTAAGCTATAATCGGATTGTCGCAATATTTGAAAAATTTCAGTTTCACAGAATGTCTTTAAGTTTTCTAATGCTTTGAGTACAACTATGATTCTTTGGTAAATGCCCAATATTCGAAAGTATTCGATAATTACATATCACGTTAAAACGATAAGTTCTTCTATAAAGCAATTTCAGATTTCAAATTCTTTTTTATGAAACGATCTTATTATTATATCATATTTCCTATTCTTAGATTTTCTTTGTGCCTTTTAATCGTTTAGACAATTGATGTAAACCAATACAAGCAAAACAGGCCTAAATAGATGACTCAAGATTAAGAGAATTAAAAGTTGCGTGATTGTGTGGCGAAAAAAATCAGATAATCTTTGGGACTGAACTAGTAAAGAAAGTGTTGTAAGTGATCGCCCGAAAAAAATACAGGCTTTATTATGTAAATGATTTTGATTTCTAAATAAGATAACTGATTTTACATTGATGCAAATAACTAATCACTTAATCTACATTAATTATATAAGCTGCAGCGACAGCTTAAGTAACTATATAATTATTTAAGCAATATTAAAATTATAAGGTATTAAAAAAAATATTAAAATTACAAGGTATGAAAATGAATAGAATTTAATAAACGGGTATTGATTATATGGACGTCTGTATCAAGTATAATTAGTGTCATCAAGTCATTACGCTTTTTTCTAGTAACAGATTAGAAGTTAATTTCAGATCATCGAAGAAATTAACTGTGACTCAAATTAATAATATCCTTTTATTTTATCTTTGATATATATTTTGGACAAATTATTTTTAATATATTATTTTTTTAACATATTATTTTTAATATACTCATTGCATAAAAGAAAAATCGTAATTGCGTAATTGTCAAAATACATAACGTTTGTTCTTTTTACGCTAAATTTATAGAATTTTTGATCCTGAAAAATATCGATCCCGTATAAACGATCCTTTTAAAACGATTATCAAAATCTTCCTCCAGCAATATTTTAAAGTTTACTAAAAGTTTTAAAGTTAAATCGGCTATCTAAATATTCTCGATCGTAGATAAACATTAATTTATCAAAGTAATAATGATAAGCACCGTCACGCACGCACTGCATCATGGAATTCTAATAGTTCCAGAAATCGCGTTCATTTGAAACTACATACTCATCTTGTTTGAAACTGCCCTCCGGCTTTTGGAAATTTAGCGCAATAAAGATAACGCCAAATATTTAAACGTGCAGAGTAAATGTTTGTTTATCGATAAAACTATCGTAATAGTTGTAGTTCTTAGTTATATCTATCCTTACGATAGTACGTTTCTGCGGCAATATCTAGCCATTCCATTCAGGACGCGCGCGTTCTATTGCTATGAACTTTCGATGTCACGACTCTCTGATTCTTATCTGAGTCTTCTCCAGGATTGCGCTGTTTATTACGTATCGTCATTATTACATATACAAGAAGGCTCAAACTCAGCTTGCTAACTTCCAATCATGTTATTGATTATAGTAATAGAAATGGTGATTACGCAGTTTGTAAGTAAAAATACTAAAAAACGTAAATTGTGTAATAAATTGAGCTAATTTATATAAAACTTAGAAGATTTATAATATTAATAATGTTTTCTATAAATAAGAACTGTAAAATGTGAAGTAACAATGTATCAAATATTTGAATTACAATATCGAACAAAATCATGTATAGAGAATAAAATGTCTGAGGTGGGGAGAAGAGGCAAAAAACAAAAGGAATTTTATTCTTTTCAATCTTCATCTTCGCGATCTAAAGACTAATCTTACAAAATTAGTCTTTACTTTCTCCTTTTCTTATTATTAGTCACAGATATATTCAATTTCTTTAATCTGCTAGAGGGATCCTTTTCCTCTTATATCATCGTCTGACATTATAATACATAATGAAAATAAAATAAAATCCTGAGCATGGAAAATTCGCGTAAAATTTCATCACCTCCAAATTCATCAGATACTTACGCAGCTCCTAAAGATCGATGGAAATCTTACGAAACAGTTGATATACGATCTCGAGCACACTGAGCACTTTCTCTCGACTCGGTAAGTAATGTAGGCTGATATAAAAAGACTAGTGTTGGTTTCAATGTCAAGGCGTGGATACCGGGAAGGCGTTGAGAATCGTACTGAATTAAAAAATAGATTAAAATTAAATTTGATAAATGCGTTTCTGTTTTTTTTCTTTATTTTTCCTTATTTTTTCCCCTTATTCCCTTATTTTTCCTAAATACAGTCCTAATTTAAATTTTACTTCGTCATTTTGCTCCCGAGATTAAAACTCTTAAGAGCGTAAAAAGAAAAAGTAGAATCTTTTTTTCGCCGAGAAAAGATCGTCTTCAGATACAAAAGATAATAGCGGAAGCTCGACGAAGTCTCGAGGCGATGCAATATATCATACGGCTAGATTCTGCGGAACGTTTTACGAATTGCCGTGAGGGTCACGACATGTGCCATACCGTGGCCAGAACCATAAAAGAAACTACAGCCGCACGGAGTGCAACTTTCGATCGTTTCTCGTGATGCGACGTACCGATAGCGTAGTAAGCACTACCTAGTGAATGACACGATCTCCCACGCCTCTCTATTCGTCTTCTTGACTGCGCGCGAGGCGGAGAGGAAGTCTCCTCTCGCAGCGAAGAGAGAGGCAACTTGCGGGCTCATCCTTTTACTGATGAACGCGTCGCGCCAGTAAACTCACTTTCATCTGTGATATTAGCCGAGCCAAGGCGAACGAATGCGCAAGGCGATTCGCCTTTCGATTCGCGAGACACGATCGGGTCCTGTAAGCATCTATAAACGTCCTCGTACGGACGATTAACCCGTGAGGGTGTTTGACACCGATGCAGTCGGCAGGAAAGAAATAGAATGCTATCTTTTAAGCGTTAAGTTATTACTTAAGTTAGAATGTCAACTGTCAAACGTTATTGAGACTTTCCGTTTATTAGTAATCCAAGATCAAATAAATTTAAAATAATATAAATATAAGATAAATGTTTCATGATCGGACATATATTTGACGAGTCCGAACATTTATAAAAAAATTTATTTGTTTATATCATTATTAATCATAATCAAATACTTTTTAAATACAATATTATATTTTAATTGTAATCTTTAACTCTCAACTACATGAGAGGGTCATTTGAACTCGGGTGACAATTTTAGCCGGCTGCAATTTTTGTACAATTAATATTGCAGAGTTGAAGTGGGAGGGGGGGGGCGGGGTAAAAAAACTTGGAACCTTTCTCTGTCGTAATGCAATTGAGGAACAGACTTTCAAAATGCATTTTGTCGAAAATTTCATTTTTTGAGTTAGAGATGATATAGTAGTGTTCAGTATTAAAAGACTCATATTATATTTTAAGCTATTCTACGATGTTCTGGAAGCATTTTTTCGCTATCGATTTATGTGCTGAAAAAAGTCCGGACATTCGAAGTGCATTATGTCTTTCCAAACAAAATGCATTTATTTATAACTTTTAGCAATTGTTTAGTAATTTTGTTTAATATTATTGGCAAATTATTATTTTCTGTAAAGGGAGTAATTTTCTTGTAGCTTTCTTTCCTGTTTTTTCTGAAAATTATAAATTTTAGACAAAACGAAAAATTTTGAAAGTCTGTTTCTCAATTGTTTTATTGTTGTCTTTTGACGTCGATTGTGATGCAATAAAGTTTGACTTGAGTGACTTAGACTCGTTAAATGTAAATTCGATAGATTGTTACCAACACAGTGAAAATTCGTTTTTAGTAAGTTTGTTTATTAGAGCTGTATTCAAATATATGTGCTGTTTTCTTATAATTAAAACATATATTCATTGTCAGAAAAAGTATTTTTGTGAGAGAGGTATCATTGGCGCTTTATTTTCTCGGACTTATAAAATCATAAATAATGTTGAAATCATTATATATTTAATATAAAATATTTTCATTGCATTTTTTTTAAAGAAGAAAATGCAAACCAGAACACGAAAAATGCCCCCACTTCAATCGTGCAAATAATTATACTTTTTGAAATGAATCAATATAACGTTTTTTTTTAAGTTCACATTTTCCTCTTCTGGTATTTCATTAAAAAAATTTTTTTTCATTGAGATTTGTGATAATTACAAAGCTAGTAAGAAACGCTGTGAGTGATTTGGACTCAGACATATAAATTAAGACTAAAACAAGACATGTAGTTGAGGGTTAAATACAGTTAAATTATAATATTGTAACAAAAAAAAGCATTTGAGATTAATAATAATAAATTTTGTATAAGTGTACAGACGTTTACCTTACTTTTTATCA